CTCTAGAACTCATTCTTCAATGCTGCTGTAGAGCCTGTTGCTTACGCAGCTTACTGGGGACACTCCCGTGTGTCTATCAGATATGAACATCTGCAGACGAAGCAGGGGGGAAAATCAAGATCAGAAATAGCTCACCAAATTCTCCACACAGTTCAATCAAGTTTGGGAACCTAGTTGCTAGTAACAGGAATTGATCATGGAATTATCAATTGCACAAGAATATGAGCACTCTTTTGTTGTTACATCCTGTCAAATTAGAACTGACTTATAGCGACCCTGATAGCACTTTCAAGGTAAGTGAGATATTTAAGGAGTGGCTTTACCAGTTCCACTTCCCCAGTCAGTTTCCAAGAGGAGACTCAAACCCTATTTTCCAGAGTCTTAGTCTGCCACTCTATCTACTACACCACACTGGAAACTTTGAGCCTTCTTTTAATCTACAATAAGATCTGTATGATTTGTATGCAACACACTACTGGGGTCTTTGAAGAACAAGGTAGGCTCATATCTTAAGATACTAGGAATCCTGCTTATAGAATTGCTTCTCTTGGAGATTGTTAGGACAAATAACTTTAATCTTTTCTTAAGCAGAACATATTTCAAAACTTCTTGTTTTGTGCTTTTTTTTGTGATAGTACCACCGTGACCCATCAACTGAAGAACAATGAACTAGAAGATGCAAACAGTTCAGAATAATGTCGAAGTGCTGAACTAATATTTTGGTGTCTGTGGTGATTGCCTAGCATTCCACCAAATGTGAACTATTTTCTAAACCCTGACAGATTTTCATCCTGCTCATTTTGGGTTTGCACAGAAATTCTATGACCCATCATAAAGTAGAACAGTGCTCTATATACATGTGATATTAAGTAATGGACAGGTTAGGCTCTGTTCTATCTCTGGAATGCTGTCATTGCCAAACCTTCCAAAAACCAGAAGCCTGTGTACCAGAGATCACAGTTTTGCAACAAACTGCTCACACAATATAGCATTTTATACCCTAGTCTACTTCTGCACTGGTATTAGATGTTTCCACTGGATCAGCAGCTTTCAACCTTTGGTTTCCAACAACAACATGTCATTCTCAACCTCATCATGGCCAACAGTCAGATTTTTGCAGCAAAAGTGTAACACATTTGGGAGGTATGAAATGATGACTTGATTGGTCAGCTGATTTAAAAAACAAACTGAAAAGGGGATACCTCTTCAAACATGGCACCTCTGATGACACACTAATGCAGCATCTAAAACACAGTATGTAGCTTGATTCAGAACTATGTTTATACATATGCAAATTTAACTGTACCAAAACTCCCATGATCACATCATGCTTCTCTAATCATGTAAAAGCCCAGATTTGACAAAAGTCACTTCTTATGCCAGAAAATGTATGCATGTTGTTTCCATTTGACCCTATCCCCAGGGCTTCCCATGCAAGTTGCTACACCAATGGCAACTGCACAAACACATGCTTCAGATTCACACAACTGTGTGACACAACATAAAATGCAAAGGAACCAGTATGGTTACATAACTGTGCTTTATCAAGAATAAGGCAAGGCACGATAGACCAAAAGTGTAGATACACATGGCAGTCCATTCTGACTGTTCATCCAAGGAAACGTCACTCACTAGGTGGATTTTAGGAGTTGGCACTAGGGGCATACTCTTGTACATGTAGGTTTTTGATTCAACTCCTGTAATTTTCCAAGAATTCCCCACACATATTTTTGAGAGTTTCAGCCCACAAGCACACACCAATATTTTGTTCACTTGGAGCAGGGACTACCTCCAAAGCTACATAGTATTCTCAGGCCTTTGCTTCCAATTACCACCCTCACCTTTGGATTATGTACAAGGAACACATCATTTTCCCTCTTTTTCTGTTAGCAGTCCACGGCACTCATGGCAAGTTGTTATTATTTGTCATCAAGTCACCTCTGACTCATGGTGACCCTATGAATGAGTGCTATCCAGAATGTTCTGTCCTCAGCCACCTTGTTCAGCTCTTGTAAACTGAAGCCTGTGGCTTCTTTTAGGGAGTCAATTCATCTCATATTTGCTCTTCCTCTTTTCCTGATACCTTCCACCTTTCCCAGCATTATTATCTTTGCCAGAAAATCCTGTCTTCTCATGATGTGCCCAAAGCAAGACAGCCACAGTTGCAACATTTTTGCTTCCAGAGAAAGTTCAAGTTTGATTTAATCTAGGACCCACTTGTTTGTCTTTCTGGCAGTCCAGGATATCCACATGGCAAGTAATGACCCTGAAGTAACTTCCACAGTACCAACAGTATTATGCACACGTTCTCTCCTACTTCAAAAGAAATGGCATCTAAAAGAACCGCAGAACTATTTTATTGCTATAGCAGGATGGCACAGCCTGTAGTTTGCTGCCTAGTCCAGAGAACTGTCTGGGAGCTATTGACACCATTTAAGTAACATCAGCCTCCAACTTTGCAGCGGCTTTGTCCAAGTATCTATGCTGCAGTTATAGCATGTTGAGTTTCATCCTACAGAATCCTGGAATTTGCAGTTCAGTCATACACAATGTACCCTCTCATTTTCAACCCCACTGGGCCGGGTTCCTCCTCTCTTGCGCATGGCTTCACCCCTGCAAGTGCACGCAACTCCACACACACACCCCACACGCTGGGTTCCATCGCAACCACAACCTCATGCGATTATGCGCATGGCTTCACCCCTGCAAGTGCACGCGACTCCACACACACCCCGCGCGCTGAGTTCCATTGCAACCAGAACCTCATGCGATCATTGCATGGAGAAGGAAGAGAGCTGCATGGAAGGAAGCGGAGTCGTGTGCAAGCAGGAACCTTGGTCACACACTTTTGTGCCAGAGAGTTCTCATGCACTTCTCTGAAATATAGCAGAAAATCCTAAATACTTCACCAAACTACAAATCTCATGATCCTGTCAGACAGAGGCCTCACAGTCCAGCTGATATCAAACTGCTATAACTGCACTGTATAAATATGTTTAAAATCTGAAACTTACCCCTAGCCTCATGACACAGAAATTTTAAGTAATATCTCAATAGGCCCTTGTCAAGGCACTCACTGGGGATGCTAATGAGATCTTTCTTCTTATGTTAACCAGATGAACTATCAAGGATGCCACTCTGCATGAAACCAACTTTAATTACAGTTACTGTGGTTTCTTCTAAAAACTCCCACTATTCTTCCATTTAAGCATAAGCCACTTGCATCGCTCAAGAAGTTGGTAAAGTCAACAGCAATAATGTTCGCTGACACTTTAAGAGATAACGGCTTCATTGATGCTGCAACTGACTTAATTATATTTTGGAACACTGGAAACTGAACAAGATTCAAAAGCAGCAAGGATATTATGAGCTGTTTTGACAGGTCCTTAAAGGTACAAAGCAGAGAAGACACAGCATTTTAATTAGAAGTTTGGCTAGATGGCCAGTTTGGAGTGGGCTAAATAAGATTGGTTAAAACTACATACAAATCTATGGTATAATCCTTGCACCAATATGCCAGGATCAGGTGGTTTCAGGTCAGGAAATCAGACCACACCTCACATGACCTTGTTTTGTGTAATCAAGATCTTCCTTATCTTTAAAAGGAAAGATTTCTTGAAACTATTAAGCAGTTGGCTGGCTGTCCCTTTGGAAAAGCCAGTAAACAATCTTGAGAAATGCAAATCTTTTGGTCATACAGTATCAGAAGTTTTGCCTTTCTTTTTAAATTATGCTAGCGTATCAGCAATGCTTTGAAAGGGTTTTTAAGCCCTGTCAAAGCATTGCTGATGCACTGTACCAGTTGACAACTATTAAATAGAAATGCAAGACTTCCCCTCCATTTCTCTCTAAAAGTAAACTACAAGGAATATTTAAAGGAAAAGCTTTCCATCTCGCAAGATGATGAAATTGGTTTTCCCAAGGGACAGCCAATCAGTTGCTTAATGATCAGGAGAAAACTTGCCCTTTAAAGGGAAACATTCTTTCCTTTTAAAGTGAAAGAAGAGACAGTCAAACAGCTACTTTGGTTTGATCTCAGTGATCATACACTCTTAAGTGGAATCAAAATGGAGTAATCCTATTTACACTTTGATCTCAGTGATCATACACTCTTAAGTAGAATCAAAATGGAGTAATCCTATTTGCACCAAACAACAACAACAACAACAAAAGTAGCCTCTGGCAGGGACCCAAAAAGGTGCCAAATAGGAATGCTTTAGGAATGGGCTGTTTCATGCTGGCAATTATGTTATCTGGTCACCAGCAAAAGAAGCAAAGCAGCCCACCCCCAGAGCAAACTGAATAGTTGTACAAATGCCTGTGTAGTCACCCCCTAGGTCAAGAGGTCCAAGACAGTTAATGAAATCTGTTCAAGGTACAACTAGGTTTAAGCAAATAAGCAGCAGTGTCAGTGCACATCTAAACACCTACTAGTACGATTTAGTCAATTATTCTGATGATAACTTTCCATAGCTCAGTCACTTCAACATTTCACCTTTCTCCAGAAAAGCATTAACTTCATTTTTCCTCTGTTCCTGAAGAGGTTTACTATTTTTTCTAGGTAAGTTTTTGAAGAAAAAAATGTTCCAAAGGGGAAGCTCCATGGTGATAGCCAACACTTTTTCCACACAGGATTTTCACTCCCTTTATTAACACCCCCACACACATTTGCGCCCACACAAATGCACACACCCCTAATAAAGCTTGGCATTGCAAACTGTTTGCTGGCCATCCAAGTCTGGAAATGTCTTTACTCTCCTTACTACTGTGGAGATAATATACAGAGGAAAAGAAACACAGCAATAAAAGGAAATAAAAGAAGGCTGTTGTGGGTTTTCCGGGCTGGTTTCTCAAACCACACTTTGGTAAAGTTCCATTTTCGACCACCCCTCCCAGAACTCCACAGCCAGCATGGAAATGAACTAAAGGGCAAACGTCTGGGAGGGCTAGCACGAAAAGAATACTTCTCCCCCACCTTTTCCCCTAAAATAAACAGTTACCTTGTGGGATCTGGAAGTTAGCAGGCAACTGGATGGTCGTCGTCGGCGCTTTAGACGCCACTGCCTGGCAGGAGGGCAGCCTCGGACCCGCGCTGGAAGTTCTGCGGAGCTGGTGGGCGGGAGGGGCGGGAGCTGCTTTGGCCACCAAAGTCTGCACGGACGACGACGACAAGGACGACCCCGCTCGGGGCTGCTGGCAGAGGGCAGGGGCGAGGCGGAGAGGAACTCTGGTGCCCGCCGGGTGGAGGGCAGCGGCGGGCTTCCCCGCGGGAGTCACCGGGCGAGAAGCGGGCGGAGCTGCGCTCTCGGCGCGCCGCGGAACCAGGGGCGCCAGGAGTTCCCCAGCGCCCTTCCCGGGGGGGCCCATGGCCAAAGCCCCGCGCTCAGGAGCCCCGGGCGGCGCGACCCTCTTCGGGGCGGCTGCTGGTGCCGTGGCCGGCGAGGTACTCATGGAGGAGGGGCGCAGCACCCAGAGGGTCCAGGAGTGCCGCTTGCAACAGAGCCCAGGCGACTCCACAGCATAGCCGCTTCCAAGGGTTCCCGGGAGGCGAGGCGATGCGGCAAAATACAGCGGGGAGACTCCCCACAGCCCCGGCTGCCTCCGCGGGCAGACCGCCCCGGGACCCAGCGGCGGCAGCGGCTACTGGCACGCTTGCGAAAAACACATGGTCATCCCTCCGCTGCCGGCGCCTCTCTTCCTCTGGTGAGGCGCGCACGTGGGGTCCCCGCGGGACGCCTCAGCCGCGTCTTCTCAGGGAAAGCGCCAAGACGAAACGTGGACAGGCCCCTCCCGCCGCCGCCGCCGCCGCCGCCGCCGCCAACGACCCTCCGCTTCCCAGACCCGCCCAGATTATAGCACCGGTGGGTTTCCCCATCCCACGAGCCATGTTTATATGGCCACGCGGATCTCCGGCGCAGGCGCATCGGCTCTTCTGACGGCTCCTGGGCATAGTTCGGCAATCTCATTGGGCTACGCTCTGCGACGTCACGGAGAGAGAGAGAGAGAGAGACGGGCTTGCGCATAGGCAGGAACCTGTCTGGTGTCGGTCCAAAAAAAGCGCGTGTCTGTCTTTCAAAGGAGAAGGAAAGAAAACTGGGCAATGGCAATAAAATTTTTGTTAGGAAGGTTCTTTTTAAAGTGAAGAGCAGGTGTGTCTGATG